CATATATACTTTAAGATTATGTGTATATTATTATTTTGTCTCATCCTTTGTATATCACAACAAACCTAAACTGACCTTCATCACTTGCTTAGGCTTTCTCATTTTTTTCTGTCTAATTTAGAATATATCTCATTCCCATATCCTTTTAATATCTTTTAAATTCTTGTTTTCTGTTTTTTTTTTTTTAATGAGACATAATAGCATTAACAAATAAATTTTCCATCTGTTGTGAGACTTCTTTTCCTGGGGATGCTAAGCAATGCTTATTCCCTGTCAAGGTTCTAGTGTCAAGACAATGTTTGTTTAAGTTTTACTGGGGAACCAATGCACTTATTGAGCTTACTTATCGAGATAACTGAGGGGTTGCTGAGGTGTATGTATGACCTGAGGGTATGCACACTGGAAAGCTTTTGCCCAGCATGGGTCATGCCTTCTCTTCCTAGCTTTCCCCAGACTGTACACTTTAGCTCTTCCCATATCCAGGAGGCTATGTGTGATTAGGGTCAAATTACATTCAGTTGGCTGGGAAGAGTGGCTGGATAATGCGGTGAGGTCCAATAACCCTGCTTGGTCCGCCTTCAATGAATGAGTACAACCGTCACATGTTCCCTAAATTTTATGACCATTTAAAAATTTCATTAACAACAGATGTCTACAGTCATGAGGCGTTTGTTTTGTTTTGGGACAGAGTCACTAACTTGGAACTTACTATGTAAACTGGGCTGGCCTGGAATTCACAGAGATCTGCCTGCCTCTATCTCCTGAGTGCTGGGACTAAAGGTATGCCTCATGACACCTGGCAAGGGTCTTTAACATATGAATGATGGTGTGAGCAACTGAGTTGTTCTCTTTGGGAAAGTTCAGTCTTTTATATGTTAACCTGTAGAGACCCAAGTCTGCCTTGCTCAGTGGGGAACCTCACTTCCTTGATGGTGATACCAACTGGCGACAGAGTCCCGGACTCTGGGACTTGTGCTTTCCTTTACAACAAGCCATTTATTAAGAAATTCAGGGCTGGAGAGATGTTGCAGCAGTTAAGAGCACTGAGTGCTCTTGCAGAGGACCCAGGTTCAATTCCCAGCATCCACATGGCAGCTACAAACCATCTTTAATTCCAGTTCCAGGGGAATCCAAAGCCCTCTTCTGACCTCCACAGCATTGCATGACACAGGTGCACTCACATACATGCAGGCAATACATTCATACACATAAAATAAAAATAATAAATAAAATATTTTAAAAAAAGAAATTCAGAGGGTTTTTATACAAGAAACTGGTAGTCACATGGGGTTTGGCAGTTACATACAAAGATTTAGGGCTCAAAGAAACAGGACAAACAGCTTTTAGTTGGCACCAGCTAGGGGCTGTTTGTAAAGCAGGATGCTTAAACTTTTACTCAGGGTTACTGATGCCTATCTGGTAATTTATTGGCCAGTGTTTTCTTTTTTAGGGCTAAAAGCATAGTAAACTTTTTAGCTTTAGCCCAGGAGTAAACTTTTAACCTGGCCTATTGTTTTAGCTAGTGATAGCTGAGTTATCTGTTCTGGACAAGGAGGTGGGCTAAGGGCTGTTGACCAGGATGCTCTCCCTCAGAGCAGGGAGCTTAAACTTTGGACCTGGCTGTTTTCTCCTGCTAGCCCTGCAGTGTTCTGCAAGACGGGTAGGGGCAATAGCTGCTGTTTTCAGCGCCCCTCCCTTCAGCAGACTTAAAAGTTTAAGGCCCCTCTCACCCTAGGACATGCCATCCTTTTTTCCTACATTAGCCTTTTACAAGAAATGCTTCATGGTACATAAATCCATTGGCTACTCTCAGACCAAGGAATGCCACCTGAAAACCACATCCTTCCTTTATTTATTTTATTACCTTTTTTTTTTTTTTTTTTTTGATAAGGTGACAAAGGAAGTCCACCGTAAAACCACATCCTTCCTTTATTTATTTTATTACCTTTTTTTTTTTTTTTTTTGAGATAAGGCCTCACTATGAGCTACCCCAGTCTGGTCTTGAACTTGAGATCCTCCGGCTTCAGGCTCCTGAGTACAGACTCTATCAGCCATGTGTCACCACATCTGATTCTGAAGAATCCTTCCTTGAAGATGATGTTCATATGAGCGCAGATCCTCTCTCCACTCAACATAGAGACTATAAAATGTAGCTTCAAGACAGCTTAAAGATGAGTAATACTGAAATCTACCCTGCATTAGAGGAACCAAGTCTCTCTATGGGCTTCCCCTCATTAGGTCCCCAGTTTCTCTGGTTGTCCTGGCCTGCTAATCCCATCCCAATCGGAAGACCCTCATGCATTCATCACCCCTGGAATTTAGACTACTGAAACCAAAAGTTGTTTGTATTACTCTTTGTTTCTAAAACATTGCCTAAATGTGTGATCCAGCAAGTTGGTGGGCCCAGTCAGCACATCTGTTAAACCAGTAGTGGGATTTGTAGAGACTCACTCTGACCACGGGTAATTTCCCAACTTAACTGCTTTAATAGGTGACCTTCCCTGCTTACATTGTTTGGGGATGCTGCTCAAAGACTAATCACTCATGAACATGTCTGACTTACATTTGGTATCCTGTTTGTCAGCCCAAGTCTGGAAGTTGACAAAGAATCAATGCTCCCTTTGTGGAAATGACAGAGGACCTAAATTCTAGATTCCGGTTCTGATCCCAAAGCCTAGTGCTTCTCTGTAATCTGAGTATCTAGGTGGGACTAAGAAGAGTTTAGACTTGCAGGACTTTCCCCTTGATCTATGCTTTTTCTTTGCCATTCCAAAAGATCTGCCAGTCACAGATTGACTCTGTGGTAGATGAAAACCCTTACTTCTAGTTTTAATTTAAAATACTATCTTAATATAAATCACAGAGACAAAGTGTAGGCCCCCTTGGTCACCCATGTTAGAATCTATGTGCGAAAGTGCTGTCACCTCCCCAGGATGAGCACCACCTGCATAGAAGACACCGTGTTTTCAAGGGAAACATGCACTGTCATGTGCAGAGTTTGCAGGGATAGAGGGCTTGCTCTCAAGTCTCAAAGGCACAGGACTTGGAGAGACCTCCAAACATGGCCTAAGGACGTGATACCAAAATAGTTCTCCTTTGAGAACTGGCAGGCAATTATTTGAAAGGGGGTAAAGACGTTGCCAGGCATGGTAGCACATGCCTGTCACACCGGGGAGGTTGAGGCAGGATGATTGCAAGTTTGAGGCTGGCCTGGGCTACATAGTAAGACTGTTTTTTAAAAAGCTAATGCTTTTGCTGGGCATGATGGCACAGGTCTGTAATCCCAGCATCTGGGGGGTAGAAAAGAGTTCAAGGTCACTAGGGGAGAATGTACTACTGACATTTTGCTAAATGGACATGTAGCCAAACTGCCTTCTGAATATTTATATTTGTATCTGTAGACTCATGTTGCTCCCAGCATGCATCAGCGAGACTTATTTTGCAGAGGGTGATGGTTAACGTGAAGACTCACAACTGGTCAATGCACTGAGAATAAGTGACCATTGAGTCTCAGCCCTAAATGAGGCATCCATATCACACTCTCTCCAATGCCCAGGGAACATCATGGAAGAGTGGGAGGGAAGATGGGGAGGGAGCTGTGAAACGCTGTCTTCTGGATATGGCGTGGCCCCTGCAGCCATGAACACACAACAGCTGTGGATGCCTGCCAAAACCTGCATCACAAAAACAAAACAAACAGAAAACTGAACATGAAGGCCAAAGGGGAGAGGGGCTAGTTGGGAAGAGGAATGGAGTTAGTAAAGGGTAGGAGAGAGATCAAAGAATGTAATGAAGGGGGTATGCGTGTGATTGTAAAAATGTTAAATTTTAGAAAAAAGAGATTCAAGGCCAGTCTTGACTACTTAGGGTCCGGTCTAAACAAATGACCCTGTCTTAAAAAACAAACAACAATAACAAAATTCACACTCATTAGAATGAAGAAGAAAGTGATTTTTACTTCTGTGAGCACAGTGTGAAAAGGCTTGACAAAAATTCCAAGATAAATCCCCTGGATGTTTGGATCCTTCTTATCCTTCCCCTATATGCCTTCCTTCAACACAGATAAACTTCAGAGCAAAAGACAATCCAATCTTTTCTTTTTCTTTTTTTTTGTGGTGCTGATGATTGAACCCAGGGCCTGTACGTGCCAAGCAAGTGCTCAGTTGCTGAGCTTCATCATAGCCCAAAAGTCCTGTTTGTTTTTGCCCCACTTCTGTTCCGATAACATGAGGACTCTAATTCTTCTAACACCTTCTTCCTTTCTTCTGTGGGAGCAAAGGAACAAAAGACAAAGTGAAAGACACTGTAAGGGAACCTGTGAGTAAAACCGGGAAAACCCCAAGTCTTAGACAATCTTATCTAAATGCACAGGAACCAAGTGGTAGGGAGGGTCGCTCTTCTGAGGGGGGGCACAGGCCACAACAAACAATCTGTATTGGGCAGCATCAGCGTACTGGCAGCGAGGATACGCTCCCGAAGTGAGTCTGCAGTCAGTCATCCTGACTGGCCTGGCACTCTGGTGGCAGTTGTTTTGACCATTCTTGCAGATGATATTGGGCAAGTCACAAGCGGCGGCCACAATCTGGAACGATTCGTGCAGAAAGGTGTTTTCAGGCTTACAGTGTCGGGTGTAATTGTTGACACCACTCATTGCTCTGTTGCATTGGCAGGGACTGGTCTGTATGTGCTGAATTTCAAACCAGTGAGCTTTAGTAAGACCCTTAGGCCGAGCACAAAGTAGACAAGCTGGTCCCCATAGTCCCAGCAGCATCAGGAGAGGAAGGCATCTCAGATCTGCCATCTTTTTTCTGAGTAGGAAGAAGGAAGATTACCATAATAGAAGCCGTCAGAACAAACTTATTTATTGTGACTAGATTTTGTTTGTTTTGCCTTTTAAGATTGCATAGCTCTTAAATAAGATAAAAAAAGAAAGACAAATCTCACTCAGTCTCACAATTCTATGAAAACTCTGAAGCCCCATGAGGAAGAACAGGAAGGGAGCAGACCTTGCCTCTGACTGGCATATCTCATTCTTTGCTTTAACATAGATTCACACATACAAGTTTTCCCTCATGCAATCCCTGCTGTTTACCCTCCCTCTGTGACCAGCTCTTCCCAGCCCCCTTCACTGCCTTACCCTAACCCCTAGGTTTCTCCTCTTACCAGTGTTTGTGCTGGGTTCCTACTGAGAACAGAGGCTGCTGATTAGTCCCAAGTTCAGAGTATTTTGTCTGTTTTGCTTCTTCTGAGCCTTCCAGAGCTGCCTAGAAGGGGCAGGTCAAGAAATATTCTGAAGCCTATGAAAGAGAATCGTTAGATTTTGCAAGAAGTGTAGCGGGCTGAGGCTCTGTTTTAAAGCCTGCTCTCTAGACCTGCCACTGCCAATGTACAGTAAGAGCAAACTCACTGTAAGCAACAGGATGATTCAAAACAAAGGATTTTAAGGAACTGATCACTTTCTGACAGATTTGGTACTTCCTTCTTGACTGCACTTCAGGTTTTTAAAAACTATGATTTCAGCTTCTTAAGAGACAGCGCCTCTGTGGTGGTTTGAATAAGAACCCCCCACCCCCACCCCCGCCACCACAGCCCCAGGCTCAAGTGTTTGACTGCTTGGTTCCTTGTTCCTGGTACTATTTGGGAAGATTATGGAAATTTAAGAGGTGTAGCCTTGCTGAAGCAGCATGTCACCAGAGCTAGGGTTGGAGAGTGTACAGCCTTACAGATGCCCAGTTCTTCTCTGCTTCCTGCATGTGGATGGAAATGTGCTCAGTCAGTTTCCCACCCCAGCTGCCTTCCCACCATTATGGCCTCTAACCCTCTGGCACCATAAGCCAAAATAAACTCTTCTCTAAATAGCTTTTGGTCAAGGTATTTTATCAGAGCAACAAAAAAGGAACTAATACACCCTTTAAACCTTGCACAATAGATGTCACATATTTGGTAATATTGTGAGTTCCAACAGTATATGTATATAAATTATTCATTTATGTATATGTTTATGGGAGCAGATACTGGGCTTCTCTTATTCAGGACTTAAGAGCATAATGAAAAAGAGTCAGGTAAATAGTTACAGTTTCAATTCACCCCAATAAATTTCTTAAGAGTAGTCTGTGCTGGGTAGGTGCTGCCTAAGAGATGGTGCAGTTTCCCGGTCCACCCAGGGGTTGCAGTTATCTTTCTCCCTCAAATAGAGACATGAGCTGCTTGAAAAACAGAGGCTCCTGAAGCAAGGAATGGCTAGAACAATACCTACTTTATACAGTATGTAGTAACTTAGGGCAGGACATAGCCTGATCTCAACAACCTGCCCCTCTCAAGTTCATGTCATGCTGGGCTTTTCCAAACATGCTCCCTGGATTGAGGTCCAGGTAAGGAAGGGATTCCAGACCTCTTCTGCTGCTGCCTTTCAGGTTAATGTCTGGAATCTCATCCTGCAGTGTTTCCTATTCTCCTGCCTTACTCTCCCTGGACACGGAGCACACTGGGCAGTAGCCACCTAAGTTCCCAGTGCCCTTCCTGACCTAGCACAATTGGCAGGAAAATCTTAAATCCTGAGAAAACACTCCTGTGTGGTGGGTGGTGCATGCCTTTAATCCCAGCATTCTGGAGGCAGAGGCAGGCAGAGCTCTATGAGGAGGCCAGCCTGGTCTACCTAGTGAGTTCCAGGCCAGCTGGGACTACTAGGAGACCCTGTCTCAAAACAAACAAAAAAGGAGGAGGAAGAGAGGGGGAGGG